TGGGGGTGAGTAGAAAATGAAGGCTAATCATGTTTTGGGTGTACTATTCCTTTAAGATGGAAATCTTAAGGTTCCAGTTGCGAGATAGACTCTGTATCCACCTCCACAAGCTGTATGCAATAATTATGGTGAAGGCTTAAATACGGATATACGACTTGTACTAAATAAACTGAAAAGTGTTCAAGTCATATCCTTTTTTCGGGTCATAAAGAACATAAAAACCAGCCAACATCGACTTCCAGGGAACAAAAGTAGAATCCCTTATTTTATTCCCAAGTTTTACTTAAGGAAAAAAAGGTTTCCGGCCATTTTCTGCTGTTCTGACCCCCAGCCCACTAAGCAGTAGTTTCTTTTTAAATGACCAGACCTCCTTACCATCACAGTAGGTAGAGTTGTTGTCTTGCTATCTAAAAGTTGTGGGTTTGATTCCATCTTCCTACTGCTCAATGTCAATGCACTCAAAAGTCATTTAACTCAAGCCTACCTATCTTTGTATCAGCATATTAATGCAGGTTTGTGAAAAAGGGTGAAATTTACATTTTGAAACTTTAAAATCTGCGTTTAACAACTAGGATTAAATAAAAGAAAAACTGGCTCAGAGAGCCTGAATGCATGGTAAGATAATGAACAAGCACACCTCAGCACTAAGCTTCTTATTTGCTGAATATGAAGCAAACAGACAACAACCAAACTTTCAAGGTGGAAAACAGCAAAAGATTGGAAACCGGCCTGAGCTGCCTGCTGCTGAAAGCCAAGAAAGGAAAAAGTGATCCAACACTGATGGCAGTTTGTCTTAGCGCACAACTGTTAACTTTGGCAGTGAGCTCGCTTAGCTGACTAAAACCAGGTCAAAATTCAACAGATGGTCAGTCTATAAATATCAAAAATACTCAACAGCAACAAACAGTCAGTTGATACAGATTTTTGACATTTAATCAACTGTGATTAAATGCATTAAAAGCATAATAAAGTAGCCAATTTTTAACATATTGGTGTCTGAATAATGAAACTAGAAAGGATGAGACATGAGAAGCAAAGAAGAAAAAAATCTGCAGGTGTCTAAATAATTTAATTTTAAATTCGCTCCATATAAATAAATAAATAAATTGATATTTGAAAAAATATATATAATCCAGATATTATGCTTCAAATACCTTTTTAATCAAAAAAGTTTTTTTAGAGTAAGATTTAGGTTTTGTTTCAAATATTCATATTTTTTTTCTATTTTTTTTTATTTGTTTTAAAGACTTTCGATGTAGAGATTATTAGCCACAACATTTTTATTGGTCAAAGCGAGCGTCGTGATTGTCTTTATGGGGCTTGAAGTGAAGAGAATATGATAATTCGTAAAAGTCAATCGGAATGCAGAAATCCAAAAAACAAATTGAAGACAGAAAACCCGTAGGTGTTTTAGGGGGGAAATTATTATCTTTTTAAATAAAGGATTGTCCTCGTAGAATCAGCTGGGTACAAAATACTGTATGGAGGAGATGAAAATAATCATTTTACTTGTTAATTTTTGAAAATACAACAAGATGTTGAAAAGCGAAAAGAATAAGAAAAGACATATCTCTGTGTTTCTACAAACTCTTAAGGCTCATTTAACATTTAACGTCAGTTCTAGGGCTGCAACTAAACATTAGTTAGTTAGTAAGTTATTTTTAACTTAAATGACAATTCTATAAATTCTATAAGTTTTGTTATAATTACTGCTCTAATTGGGTCGCTCTGTCAGCTTAAGGCATGTTTTACAGTCTCTATACCAGAGTTAACGATTAATTAATTACTACTAGGGTTGTCAAAAGTATTGATACTCAGAAAAGTATCGATACTGAAATGTTGTATCCGGATACAATACTCATTTTCAAAAGTATCGAGTACCAGTCACACCTAAACAGTCATTCATCTAAAGTGCAGAATAGAGGAAAATGCACTTTCTGAACACTGTGATTGAATAATTCTGTGCACTTTTCAGTTTCAGACTTTTTTTGTAACAGTTGCAGCTGCTGAGAATTATTTTTGTTTCTTAACCGGTTTGGCTAGTGTCATTGTTATGTGTGCAAAGCACAGCCAAGTAAGGAAAACTTAATTTTAATTTTGTAAGTTTTTTATCAAGCTTGCTAAATACGGTGCACAGCAAACAACCTCAAAATGTTGTTCTTATTGTTTATTGTATTTATTTATTGTATTTTAATTATTAATCAAAATATTTCTGTTGAAATTTTATCCTTGTGGTATCGAAAATGGTATCGAGTATCGAATATTTTCCTTAGTATCGGTATCGAGTTGAAAGGTTTAGTATCGTGACAACCCTAATTACTACATTAGTTTACAATTATTTCAAAAATTGATTGATCACGTTTAACCGGATTGTTTGAGCCCTAGTCAGTTCCCACTGTTTTCTGCGGAAGAGGATTAGGGCTACTGAAAATTTTTTAAAAAGTTAACTGATTTTTCAATTTTATTTCAGTATAATATGAGAAAAAAGTCAGAATGTTTATTTTTTTTCACAATTCTGACTTTAATCTCAGAATTTTTACTCTTTTCTCACAATTCTGACTTTTTTCTCAGAATTCTGACTTTAATCCCAGAACTTTGACTCTTTACTCACAATTCTGACTTTAATCTCAGCTTCTGACAGCTAACAATCATGTTAGAATCAAGATGTTTAAGAGCATAAACTAGCTCTCTTGTTTTAATCACCTTCTGCTCTTCCATTAATGAAATAGCATCACCAGGAACCCCTCTGGCACGTAAAAAGTCGCCTAATTCCATCTTTTTCCACCAATGTGTTACTGGCCCTTCCAAACAACTCACATCTTTGTCAGTGAAGCTGAGTGCTCCCACATCTCTTTCTTCATTGTGCCCATCTACATTAAGATCCAAAATTCTGAGATTAAAGTCAGAATTCTGAGACTAAAGTTAGAACTATGACTTTTATCCCCATATTAAACTGAAATAATATTTAAATCACGTAACTTTTTTTATTATTATTTCTTCAGTGGCCCTAATCATCTTCCGTAGTTTTCAAAACATAAGGTAAAAGTAAATCTGCCAACACAAGGTTGAACATTTGAAATCTTTATCGTCAGAGCAAATAAACAGGAAAATACCTCAAAGTAAAGAGTGACTACAGAGAACGAATAAGCAAATCTCTTCAATATTCAACATCTCAGCAATTATTTTCAACATCAGTTTCTCTTTTTGTGTTTTTCTTTTCCATCAATGTTTAACATGAAGCCAACTTTTACCATTATAAGTATAGAGGTACCCATATAAGGGGAGAGACTCAATCACAGTTTTGCTGTCCAGTAAAAATAAAAGGTTAAGATTCAGGTATTCTAAATTTGTCATCAGTAGTGGTAATACTAATGTAATCCTTTTCCTGTGTGCAACCAAAATCATAATAAAGCCTGTGGACTGTGGAGCGTTGGTCAGCTGAGCAGTTTGCTCTGAACGAGCTGCTAGTTTTAGCAAGCAAGCGCCAAGCTAGCAATTCAGCACTAAAGCTCAGGCGGGTTTAGCATCTTTTTCAGCCTCGTTTTATTGTAACATGGACTGAAATTTGAACGGGACAGACATCATTTGAATAATCTAACGGTCTACTTGGGCGTAGAGGAACTAAATGCAGAGAAAATATCTGGGACAAGTGAAACACCAGCTGCTTAGCATTTTAGCTAGCTGAGTCGCAGCTAGCCAACGAAACTCTTTGATGCCGTACAGAAAAAAGGCTGCCCTTTTCCGGATGTTCATGGCTCATTCTAGAGCATAAAACCAAACCTGTTCTTTTCAAACACAGTTGTATGTGCACATAACACCTAGTGCTTTTCTCCTAAACATCAATCCGCTGTTTATGAACTAGAATGTAACATAAACACCAATGTTTTCATTCCTACCCACCGCTCATGACGACATTCGCTCTCCACAGCCTTGAAGACCAAGCCATGAAGGAATCCGCCCGGCTGGCTCCACCAATCCACGGCCAGGAGTGGGTTGAGGGACAGTCAAATTGACCAATCGCCTTGAAGTAATTCTGTGATTGAAATGTCTTACACCAATCGTAGAAGGAAAGCTGTGTTCCTCCGACTGTTTGGCCAATAGGAGGTCGCTTTTGTGATCAATGGGGCGGTTCCTAGAGGATAATCTAGTACCCTATTACAATAAGATTGCTCTTTCACGGACATGGGTAGCGACCAATGTGATGTTAGAAGGGCAGTTCATGTGAAAAAGAACTTTAAAAAAAAATAAAAAAAATTAAAATAATAAAAAAAAAATAATAATAATAACAAAAAATAAATAAATAAAAATATTCACAATAACAAACAAAAAAAAAGAAAAAGAATGACAACCGTAAGAAGCAATTAACATTAGGTTACTGAAATCTTACCTGTTTAAATGATCTAAGTGCAATTCCGAAGATGGGGCTGTGTATTGATTAAAATTTGAAGAATCAATTCTATTCTGATTCTTGAGATTTAAAAGCTTGTGGTGAGGACAGTGATCACCGAAAAAAAAAAAATCCTTAGTTAGTTATATGTATCAGTTTTTAGGGTAAAAAAAAACATTTTATTTTATCAACGTTTAATTGTCTTTACACTCTAACAAGTACAGAAATAAACTCTCTGCATGTATCCCATCCCCTTTGAGAGCAGTGGGCTGCCACTGTGCAGCGCCCGGGGAGCCGTTTAGGGTTAAAGATTCCTTTTATTGTAGTTCATCACTGGAAGTACATGTGACTATCTGATGAGGATTCCCAGCAAAGCAAATCAAAGATTTCCAACACAAAAATGATTCAATTGCACTTAAAATTATTTACATATACAAAACTATACCTCAACACACACTCAAAATGGATGTTTTCGAACATAAAACATAATCCTCTTTTTAACCAGAC